AGTTTTTTCTACTTTATTCATAAAACCTTCATTCTTTAATTTTTTAGGTTTTAAATTTAATTTTGAATCTTTTATCTTTTTATATTATTTTTGGTTAAAAGTCATTCTTTTTTGAACTATTCCTTCTTCTGCACTTACAACTTCTTCATATTCATCATATTCATTTTGATTACTACTCTCAGGTTTATCTTCTAACCTATTCATCATATACATATAACTCATTTCTTCTTCTGATTCATTATTTTCATATTCAATCTCACTAATTATTTTTAATTTATAGATTTCTGTATCTGAATTATTTAATTTATTTTCTATTTCAGATAATTCTTCATCATATCATATAGGTTCTAAATTTTCTTTATATGCTTCTTTCATTATTTTTATAATTTTCTTATCCTTTTTTCTTGGATAGTTAGGTGATATATGACCTAATTTTCTACAATTATAACATGTATATCTTTTAGGTTTTTATTTATAATTTATTTTTCTTTTCCTTTTCTTTTAAAGAATTTTCTTGGCTTATATTTACTATATTTTTTATAATAATTTTCTTTAAGATATTTTTTACATTTTATTTTCAATTTTCTTTTCTTCCTTTTTCTTTCATATTTTTCTGGTTTACATCCCCATTTATGTCCTTTCATTATTTCTTCACATCTTAATATTATTTTATTAGTTTTATAATATTTCATATTTCTTCATGTAGTTTTACATTTATCAGCTATATACTTTCTTAAAAATAATTTTCTTCTTCCCATAGTATCTACCTTATTTAAAATATTTATTGGACCTTGTCTTATATCATCTATTATTTCATCTCTCCTTCCGAAGTTACTTGATAAGTATTATAGTAATTTTCTAATATTGTATCTAATAATAATTTTGGTAGTTTTCTATAAAATAAATCTAAATAAAATCTTTCTTCTTTTAAGTCTTCTAATCTTGCTTCATAATAATATTTTTTATATTCACGTATAAAAGCATTCAAATATTCTGGTTCTAATGAACATAATTCTATTTCATGTAATATTTTTATAGCATCTCTTTGTCTACTTATTTCATATATGTCTTTAGCTAATCCTCCAAATTCATTTAATAATATTTTTTTGATATTTATCTACTATCATTGTATAGTATTCTCTTTTATTATTATAATTTTTATCTAGTTTCCTAAATTTTTCTCTAAATTCTTGGGATTTACTATTCCACCAATTGTGTACATTTTCTAAAAATGTTGCTTCTATTAACATAGTTGCAGTTTGCATATCTATATTTTTTTCTATTAATGCTATTAATGTTGTTTTTGCCCGTTCATCTATTACTTTATTATTATCCATATTACAGTCTAAATCTAATCATATTCCTGAATTTAATATTTCTTTACTTTCATATTGTGCTAATGGTGTTGGTATAAATTCATTATTTCTTGGTACACTGAATGTAGCTTGAAAAGGTATATTATTACACTCTATTTTATTTGATTTTATAAAGTCTATTTGATAATCTGTTTCTCTTTCATATGGTTCCATCATTCTTTCATCTCTTAGTTCTTCTGATACTTTATTGGATTCTACATTTCTATTATTATAAAATGGATCATTTTAAATTTGGTGGTTTAAAGTCTTGAGACATTTCATAGGGTTGTTCATGAATTACTATTTGTGAATTTTACATATTTATAAAAGCTTCATCATAATTATTATTTATCAAATTTTTATATTCTTGTTTTATTTTTCTAATTCTTCTCTTTCTTTATTTTCTTCATTTTCTAATAATTTTTGTAAGTCTATTTCTAATTCTTCATATTGACTTTCTATTTCATCTTCTATTTCACTTATTGCTTGTGCCATGTTTATACTTACTTTTTGTTGTTTTTTGTTGGATTTTCTTTCTAAGTTTATAATTATAGTTTCCTAACATTATTTCTGTAGCTCTATTTACACTTTTCCATTCTTTTTCATCTATTTCATTTTCTCCTCTTAATTCTCTTTCTACTTCTATTTCTAGCTTTTGTTTTTTTTCTTTTTCTTTTTTCTTTCCATAATTAGTTCCATTTTCTCTATCAAATATTTCTAATTCTAATTTTTCTATTTGTGCATGTATGAACTATATATTATTATTCATTATTTCTTAACCTTTTTGATCGCTCTCGCAAGTGTACGAGATCACAGTAATAAATTATCCAGAATATTTCAGGTGTCGAACCCACAGGAAAGTTACACTTTTACTAATTTAAATAATTAATAGTTCGAGAAAAAATAGATAAAATGGATAATTTTGATGAAAATATAAGGAATAAAAATAAATCAAGAAAATAATGATGATAAAAATACAATCACTTGAAGCGTTTGGGGTTTAGGATTCACCCTATAGGTTACTAGTTTCTACCCTTTGAGTTGACTCGGATCAATTATAATGACAATTATTCTTAAAGTGTCTTAATATTCTCCCAAATTATTAGTTCCTTTTTAATTAGTGTTGAATTCGTTCCAACGATACCCAACAACTAATTAAACCTTGAAGTTATAGTTTAGGTCACCATAAATTTCTAGAACTATCCTTAACCTAGTTATTTATATTTATTTCTCTAGATCTAGGTTCTCTCTTGACCTCCTAGTCCATCAAGATTACCCATAAATTTGATTAAATGGTGGCTAGTCATTAAATCAATATGAAGAACAAGAGAAATAAATATAATTGAAAAAAAGCAAAAATATTTATAAATATAAATGCAAAAGTCAAAACAAAGGAAATAGAAAACTAGCTCCCCAATTGGGTTACGTCCTTACCCTAACTGGGTAATTTAGAAACACATAATAAAATCAAATAAAACTGTTTTAAAATCTCCAATCATGAAAAATGATCACAGAGAAAATTAAGGAGTAGAAAAGAAATAATTATAATTTATGAAACCCCTCAATGATCTCACTTTCAGCCTTCAGAATGCTTCTATAAGCTCCAAATATCTCAGAGAGAATTTTTGAGGGTACTCAGATAAGCGACTGGATGCCTTCCCTCTTGATGGAGGAAGTATTTATAGTTAAAGTGGAGGCTCTTTCTTTTGTTCATTGTCGATGTGGGACTCTAATATATATATATATATATATATATTTCTCTTTTCCTTCTATTTGGTTTATTCTTTTTTTTTTTGCAAAATATAAAGATAAACAAATATGAGTGGATTTTGTATTAAAATTCCTTTTTATCTTATAATTAAGTGATGAGGGAAAAATATATAAATATCAATTAAATAGATATGAAATCTTAATAAATATAATCAAATTCAAACTAAAATCTATACCTATTTAATTATAAAATATACACTTATCAAATTCTCCCACACTTAGCTTGTTGCTTGTCTTGAAGCAAATACTTCTGCGTTTAGCCTTATTCTTTAAATAAGTATATCAAATACAGGAACCTTACTCAAAGTACTAATAAAACTTAACTATATAACCAACCTGCAAAGCTTCAATGTGAGAGATAAAGCTAATAATTATACTAGTACCACCACAGGGAGTGAATTAAATTCTGATTGAGTACTTATCTGTAAAATAAATTTGTCTATACCCTTAAAACTTACCTGTTTCTTTTTCTGAGTTAGTGCAATGGGGTCACCATCCTTAACTATTCATGAATTGCCTTTTTTCTTAAATATTTCTTAGGCCCTTTTGACGCGAACTCTTATATTGGTGATACAAGGGCCCAGTTACTCAAACTTCAGGAACTTTATTGGCACACTCTTGATACTTACTAAGCTGTTTGACGCAAAGGCCAACATTGGTGATGAAGGCCTCGGTTACTAGGCCTAGTTGGCATTAGCGGAGTGGGTACTCAGCAATTTTTTTTATCTCTTTTTTTTTTGTAGGATCATTCCCCTTTTTAACTACTTTGCAAGGTGTTAGTTTTCTAGGCATAGACATAAATAATTAGGACAGATAATTCATGCATTAAGTATATTTTTGATAAACTCCTATGGGGTATTAACAGTTTTGAATTCTTTCTCAAACATATAGTTGCCCTCAATAGTTATATAGCTAAATAAAATAGTACAAAAGAGCAAAAAGTTTTAAAAAAATTCAAAAATTTTCAAAATTAAGGCCAATTACAGCATGTAAATTGCTAAGAAAATTATAACAGCATAAGCAATAGAAAATTATCATAATATTCCCTCCCCCACACTTAAATTTCACATTGTCCTCAATGTTTGTAGAAAAGGAAAAAGATAAAGGAACTGAAACTCCCCTGATATAATTTGTTTTGATATGACTTTGATAACATTTAAGAAACTCCTTTTTAAGCATTGTAATCCTGCAATTCATCTTAGAGGGGGTTTTAGTGATCAAATAAAATTTTACAGGGATAACAGACGGTAAAAAGAAATTAAAAAAAAAATAAAGAAAAGGAAATAAAAATAAAATTAGGTTGCCTTCCAATAAGCGCTACATTTAATGTCTATAGCTAGACACTACTGTAAAAATCAAGAGATTCTTTCTAAGTATGGTAGAAATCCTTATCCTCCTAAATCAGAAGACACCTTCTTTTCCCAACTAATATTCATCTTCCCCTTGGAGAGTGTTCTTGTTAATGAGTTCTTGTTAATGAGCAAGGGACTTTCCAATTTGATTCCAATATATGAGTGCTAGTGCTTTTGCGAAGACTAGTGAGTAGATCTTTAGGTTGCCTTGTAGCTCCCTCCCTTCTCTATTGCTAATTTCCACCTCTTTATTTTCTAAAGTATGTAAGGGAGGGTCTTTTGAGTGTTTCTCCTCTTCCTGTGTCACCTGTATGCTACATAAAGATTTTTCAAGAATAGGAAGGTTAGTAGCTTTAGTAAATTTAAATATCTCTTTTTCCTCACCTACTTTGAATATTAATTCTCCCTTAGGCACATTAATTAAGGCACCTCTAGTAGCTAAAAATGATCTTCCTAATATAAGAGACATTCTAATTATCTTCAATGTCTAAAATATTAAAGTCTATAGGAATATGAAGTTTACCGACTTTCACTATGACACCCTCAACTACACCATATGGATATCTGAGTGATCTATCTGCGAGTTGAACAGTCACATTAATCGGCTTGATATCTATTATACCAAGTTTCTTGCATAGAGAATAAGGCATTAAGTTAACACTAGCGCCCAAATCACATAAACAATTTTCGATAATATTACAAACAATATCACAAGGAATAGTAAAACTCCTTGAATCTGTCAATTTAGGTGGTAGCTTTTTTTGTAGAATCGCACTACACTTCTCTATAAGTGTAACTGTGGCATATTCTTCTAACTTTTTCTTATTTGAAACCAGCTCCTTGATGTATTTGGCATAAGCAGGCATCTTTGCCAATGCCTCTATAAAAGGAATATTAATTTGAATTTGTTTGAACATCTCAAGGAATTTTTGGAAGCCTAAATTTAGATCTTTTTTTAGAAGGCGCTCGGGGTATGGAATGGGGAGCATATAAGGTTTGGCTTCAGAGAGAGAATGCCCACTTTTAGCTCTATTATCAACCTCTTAGGATTCCTTACCATTCTGTATGGTAACTGTTATAACTTGCTCTCGTGGATTAACTTTGGTATTGCTTGGAAGTTTACTTTGACTCTTTCCAGTAATTAAGCTAGCCAAATTGCTTATTTAACCCTCCATATTCCTCAAAGAATTACCTATTTGAGATTTTATATTCTTCATAAAAGTTTGAGTTGAAGTAACTGTTTGTTTTAGTTGGTCAATCTCTTGATTAATGCTCTTCATGCTATTCACTTGGTAAGTTGCCATTTGAGCCCAAAGCTTCCTCCAACTTCATTGTATGATCTTCAATTGTGTTTCTTTATTGTTGAAAGCCTGGCTATGCTTGTGGCCCCTGAGTAGAGGAATTCTTCCAAGAGAAATTTGGATGATTTCTCCATCCAGGGTTGCATGTGTTGGAGTATGGGTCATCCTTAAATTAACTCGATCATTACTAGCTCCTATATAATTAGCCTCCTCCACATAGTCAACATCACAACCTGTATGAAGAGAATTATTAGTAGAAGAAAGGGAATTAACAAAACCAAAATTTTTCAATAATAAATTTAAACTCTTTGTTAAATCCCGCAGTTCATGTGAAACATTTGATGTAGAAACTTCATTAACCATCGCCCTCCTTCCTCAAACTGCCTTCTGCCTTGAATTTGCTGCTAGCATTTTATAAATCTCCTCCCTTTCTTTAGCTGTCATATTACTTGGATAACCTTGAGCTACATTATCAACTTTTGATCGGCATTCAACATTAAGCCCATCATAAAAAAAATCCATCAAAAGTATGTGTGGAAATTGGTGATGGGGACATTAGCTTATGAGGAGATTATAACGTTCCCAGGCCTCATGGAACAATTTACTATTTTGTTGTGTGAAGAAGTGAATTTTATCCCTTAATTCTTAAGTCTTCTGAGGAGAATAATATTTCAAAATAAATTGCTCATACAACTCCATCCAAGAGCTTATGGAAGCTTCTGGTAATCGTAAAAGCCATTGACAAGCTTCTCCTTTTAAACAATACAGAAAGTAATGTAGATTTAAATCATCATCCGATAGATTATTTAGCGATAGTGTATCAATTATCGCATAAAATTCTCGTATAAAATCCAAGGCATCTTCAGTTCGGTGCCCGTTGAAATTAGGTATCGCATTTAAGTGAATATTTTTAAATTCATAATTACGTGCTCTCGTACTCAATTAGATGCATGACAGATTAGATGTGATGAATGGGTGTTAAATATCTCTAAATGTAATGGATGGCTCTAAAATAGTTTCATTACCTATCTTTCTTCTTCTTTGAAATCTATTTTTCCTGCAAAACCATTCTTTCTAAATTAATAGGAATCAAATTTAAATCACTAGAATTTCTTAGCTGCATAAAAAATAAAAAAATAAATAAAATTAAAATTTAAAATTTAAAATTAAAATGAATTAAAAATTAAATAGTTAGTAAATTTGTGACTTCCCCGGCAATGGTGCCAAAAATTTGATCGCTCTCACAAGTGTACGAGATCACAGTAATAAATTACCTGGAATATTTCAAGTGTTGAACCCACAGGAAAGTTACACTTTTACTAATTTAAATAATTAATAGTTCAAGAAAAATAGATAAAATGGATAATTTTGATGAAAATATAAGAAATAAAATAAATCAAGAAAATAATGATGATAAAAATGCAATCACTTGAAGCGTTGGAATTTAGGATTCACCCTATAGGTTGCTAGTTTCTACCCTTTGAGTTGACTTGGATCAATTATAGTGACAAATATTCCTAAAGTGTCCTAATATTCTCCTGAATTATTAGTCCCTTTTTAATTAGTGTTTAATTCGTTCCCATGATACCCAAACAACTAATTAAAACCGTGAAGCTATAGTTTAGGTCACCATAAATTTCTAGAACTATCCCTAGCCTAGTTATTTATATTTATTTCTCTAGATCTAGGTTCTCTCTCGACCTCCCAGTCCATCAAAATTACCCTAAATTTGATTAAATGGTGACCAGTCATTAAATCAATATGAAAAATAAGAGAAATAAATATAATTGGGAAAAAAAACAAATATTCATAAATATAAATGCAAAGAGTCAAAACAAAGAAAATAGAAAACTAGCTCCCCAATTGGGCTATGTTCTTACCCCAACTGGGTAATTTAGAAACACATAATAAAATCAAATAAAACCATTCTAAAATCCCCAATCATGAAAAATGATCACAGAGAAAATTAAAGAGTAGAAAAGAAATAATTATAATTTATGAAACCCCTCAATGATCTCACTTTCAGCCTTCAGAATACTTCTATAAGCTCCAAATATCTCAGAGAGAATTTTTGAGGGTACTCAAATAAGCGACTGGATGCCTTCCCTCTTGATGGAGGAGTATTTATAGTTAAAGTGGAGGCTCTTTCTTTTGTTCATTGTCGATGTGGGACTCTAATATATATATATATATATATATATATATATATATTTCTCTTTTCCTTCTATTTGGTTTATTCTTTTTCTTTGCAAAATATAAAGATAAAAGATATGAGTGGATTTTGTATTAAAATTTCTTTTTACCTTATAATTAAGTGATGAGAGAAAAATATATAAATATCAATTAAATAGATATGAAATCTTAATAAATATAATCGAATTCAAACTAAAATCTATACCTATTTAATTATAAAATATGCACTTATCACTTTTCTTGTTTTTTCTGCTTCTATTCTTGTTTGTTTTATATTTTCATGCATATCTTGTTTTCTTATTTTTTCTTCAATCATATGTTCATCTTCAACTATTCTCATTATATTTACTTGTGATCATTTTTTCTCTAATTTATTATGAGGATTTACTCCTAAATATTTCATTATTCTATAAATATTATGACTTATCATACTTTATTCAGTTCTTAATCTTTCTGTATCATGTTTTATTTCATCTAATTTTCATTAAATTTTTTTTATTTCATATACTTTTTGTTCTAAAGGTTTAGCATATTCTTTAAGTCTTCATTTTTTTCTCTAGGATTTTCTTTTTCTAACATTATTTGTACTTCTTCTAATAACATGTTTATTATTTCTTTTTCATTAGACAGATGTTCTAAATCTTTTATGTTTTCATTTATATAACAACCTAATTGTTTCATTAGAAACATATTACATAGAAAAGAGAGACAGAGGTTAAGAAAACTACATTGAATAGAAATGATCAGGAATTTTTGAACCCACCCATCTTGGTATGTTCCAATTAATCCTCGT